TGATGATTCCTTCCCACAGCTGTTGAAATTGCCCTCCCCATCTCATGTACCTGTCCCCCCCACCCCACCCCCACCCTCACCCCCCACAATTCCTCGTCTTACCTTCCTGTGTCCAGTGAAGAACAGGGAAAGGTGGTGCATGGAGCCTCCATTACGACCCAGTTCTTTTTTGAGGGTGCGGGGTGAAGGGATGGCCCAGGTGGACGCGGTGCCCTCGACATCAGAGCAGTTTAAGGTGGTGTCGGAGGCGAAGCAGGGCCCCCGGGCCTCCTGCAGCAGGCTGCCCTCGCTGTGCGTCCGGCGCCGCAGCGAGTTCTGCACGCGCAGCGAGAAGCCGCCCTCGGCGCCTTGGCCAGTCTCAATCAGGCTGCTGCGCTTGGCCTCACTGCGGTCCCCGTAGTTGTCGTCGCTGGTGTCGTCCTCCTCCTCCTCCTCCCCCTCTTCCCCTTCCTCTCCCTCTTCGGCCTCCTCATCCTCGGCAGAGCTGCCCCCGTGGGCCCCATCCTGCTGGCTGTAGGCGCTGTCCAGCCGGACCTCGGGGATCACAAAGTTGGGCCTGGAGGCCCGAGGTACAGCGGCGGTGGCCCCTGCTAGCTCCCCAGAGCTGATGGCCGCCTGTTCATCAGGGGCCTTCTCCGGGGGGGAGCCCTGGCTGGGAGGTGACTCCTGAGAGGGTGGAAGGTTCTGGACTGAGGCCGCGGGTTCTAGGATGACAGGGGGCTGCTCTTGACTGAGCAGAGGGTCCTGGCTAGGGGTGGATTCTTGACCAGCGGGAAGGTCCTGGCAAGATGGGCGGTCTGTGGTTGGAGGAGAGCCCTGGTGCAGCGGGGAGTTCTTGCTTGTTGAGGTTTCTGGGCTTTGAGGGGGCTCTTGGCAGGTAGCTGTGTCTTCACCGGATGGTGACTCTGGGCCAGGAGCTGCTTCTTGCCCCAAAGAAGAGTCCTTCCTGGGTGGGAGGTCTTGTCCCGGAGGAAGCTCCTGGCTGGGAGAGGGGTCTTTGCTGGGTGGGAGGTCTTGTCCTGCAGGAAGCTCCTGGCTGGGGGAGGGGTCTTTGCTGGGTGGGAGGTCTTGTCCTGGAGGAAGCTCCTGGCTAGGAGAGGGGTCTTTGCTGGGTGGGAGGTCTTGTCCCGGAGGAAGCTCCTGGCTGGGAGAGGGGTCTTTGCTGGGTGGGAGGTCTTGTCCTGGAGGAAGCTCCTGGCTGGGAGAGGGGTCTTTGCTGGGTGGGAGGTCTTGTCCTGCAGGAAGCTCCTGGCTGGGAGAGGGGTCTTTGCTGGGTGGGAGGTCCTCAGCACCTGGCCCCTTCCCCTTGTCCAGGGGCATCTCCTTCTCATCTGCCTCTGTCTCAAACATCTGCAACACAAAAAGGAAGAGAGGAGTCTCAGAGATGCCAGACCCCATGTTTGAGCCAGCACCACAGAGGCTGATACCAATACCAGAACCCCACAGTGAGTCTGAGGGCCAGACAGAAGCCCAAGACTCCCAGGGCTGGGCTGTAAGGTCTTCTGGCTTGGAACTTGTTCTATGTACAGCACACTGGTCTGCTGGTTTGTAGGGACCACGCCAGCCCAGACCCCCTCTCTCGGCAGAGGAAGCATCACTGCCCTTATTTGCCTGTGTGTGTAAAGGAGATAGACAGCAGGCAGTCTCTGCCTTCACGAACCAGAACGAAACCCAAGCCACCAAGCCGGAACTCTCAGCATGGGGAACAATCTTGAATCTCATCAGAGGGTCATTACACCAGAACCAACAACTAAAACAAGAATCTAAGTGAATCATTCAAATAAGAATTCGCTCTAAATGTTAAGTAGATATTTGAAACCAGTCAACTGGATGAGAACCAAAGCTTTCAAATATTGCCCAACACCTGGAATGATCAGATGTCGCAGACACACACGGAACCTCACTGAGGGGTTATCCACCCGATAAGCTCAGAAATTTAAAGAAAGAAAGGAAGGAAGGAAGGAGGGAGGGAAGTAGAGAAGGAGGAAGGAAGAAAGAAAGGAAGGAAGAAAGAAAGGCAGGAAGGAAGGAAGGAAGCAAGGGAGGGAGGGAGGGAGGGAGGAAGGAAGGAAAGAAGGAAGGAAGGAAGGAAGGAAGGAAG